ATTGCATGGAATGGGAAAGTTAACATTCCTTTCTCAAGGAAGTAGGAAGACTAAAATTTGCTGCCCTTCCCAGTCGTTTAATTGTTTCATAGCTTGGGTATTTCCATCTGTTTCCATTAGTTGTATCTATATGTGTATCTATAAAGTAACCTTTTCCCCACATAAACTAAAGTAGAATAAATGTGTGTGGGCATCTAATTAAGAAACTCCACTGGCAGTAATCAGTACCTCAGTAGCAATCACCTGTGGAGTCTTGTTTTGAAATTCGGTCCCTCCCTCGATTCTGGTTGGCTCACGTGTTGTCTGAGCTGAAGAGCGAAGCCACAAGTGTAGCAGGTTTCAAGTCAAATCAGTCAGCTAGATCAAATAAATGGACTCTTCTGTTTTTTTGTGCCGCTCATTTTTGTATTCGGATTACTGCTGGAGGATCTGCTTTGACTGAGCGTGCTTGAAGCTGCCAGGATGGACTCAAACAGACTTTTCTGTTCAAACAGAGCCGAGGGCTTAAATCACAGTCAGCTGACAGAGCTGGAGGACGATATACAACAACATCTCGCTAGGACGGAGGAGAGGGCGAGAGACGAGGTGAGTGGAATAGCTGCAGGATTCATAGTATGTGAAGCGTTGCTCCTGTGATTTACTTCAATACTTGGAAGTTAAACGTAAGAAATTTCATCATGAAAGCCAGCGTATTTAATCAATAAACAGCACGCAGACAAGTGGACTAAATGATTGCATTTGATTCCCCGTTGAAGTGGAAAGACTGCACGCATTCCTCAGTATTTCATGTGAGCTACCTGCAAATTTGTGGCACAGCCCACAGCAGCTAGTTACACGTGTTCTCACAAAGAGCCTCTGTAAAGTCACATGAAAGCCCCTCTTCAAGGCCTGAGCTGGCCCGCACTTCTAACTGCTTCGGTTTCACAGGAGAGAAAGAAAATGGAAGAAATTATGGCCGGCTTGCAGAGGAGGCATGAGAATGAAGTTGCAGACCTGCATGCCAGTGTGGAAAGACTGTTAAAGGTAGGTTGTGGGGTTTTTTTTGTTTCACAGACAGCTGTCTACTTTGTTCCCCCATGATGTTCTCTAACAACATACAAAAAGAGAAGAAAGCCTCTGTATCTGAAAAGCAACACACAAGCTCTTGTAGGATGTCTAGCTGCTGCTGCTTGCTTTCTGGGAAAGTGTGATGGACCGTACAGACAGATAAAGTCTGCTCACTACCTTTCATCCACAAATGACAGTATTTCCAGAAAATGTCAAGATTTTGCTTAAAAACAAGACTTTTTACTCGTGCATTTTGCTTCTCCGTTCACATTAGACGTAGCAGAAAATGTGTAATGTAAACATACACATTTGTGGTTAGCTATACAATAAGTTGGCATTGGTGATTTGAATAGTGAATAAAAATACAGAGGAAAGATGAATTGAATAAAGGAGGGGACAAAAAAAGAGGGAAAGCATAATTAAGAGAGAGTTGTGTGTATTTTGGAGACTAGCTGCGCTCATTCTAAGGCTTCATATTACGCGCATTAACATAGATGTAAAAGCGCACATTGTATAGACTGTACCTGTACTGTGCAATCGA